GAGCTTGTAACACTCCAAAGAGAAAGGAAAAATTGAAATCGCATCATATGACCCCTTTAAACTCGCGCTAGACTGAAGTCAGGCATACTGTTCTTTTAACGTTAAATATTCTTTGCTCGCTTTCTCTATATGTGACCCTGGACCACAAAACCAGTCTTAAGTTGCTGGGGTATATTTGTAGCAATAGCCAACAATACATTGTATGGGTCAAAATTATAAATTTTTCCTTTATGACAAAAATCATTAGGATATTAAGTAAAGATCATGTTCCATGAAGATATTTTGTAAATTTCCTACTGTAAATATATTAAAACTTAATTTTTGATTAGTAATATGCTTTGCTAAGAACTTCATTTGGACAACTTTAAAGGTGAATTTCTCAGTATTTGGATTTTTTTGCACCCTCAGATTCCAGATTTTCAAATAGTTGTATCTCAGCCAAATATTGTCCTATCCTAACAAACCATACATCAATTGAAAGCTTATTTATTCAGCTTTCAGATGATGTATCAATCAAAATTTCGAAAAATTGACCCTTATGACTGGTTTTGTGGTCCAGGGTCACATTTTATAATCCTCTATCTGCCCTCATCTTTGTCTGTTTCTCTCTTTCCCAGCATGTGAATGTAACGGTCACTCAACTAAGTGTAGGTTCAGTATGGCCGTGTATCAGCAGTCTGGTCGAGTCAGTGGAGGCATTTGTTTGAAGTGTCGGCATCACACAATGGGACGCCACTGCCAGTTCTGCCAGAACGGATATACGCGAGACCACAGCAAACCGCTCAGCCACCGCAAGGCCTGCCAGCGTCAGTAACAAATGATTTGTCTGTGTGTTTTATGTGGAAATCATGTTAAAGCTGGTCTATACATGAGTGAATCATTCTTGCCGTTCCACAAGTGAAAAGAAAAACATGTTTTTTTTGGCTTTGCCATCTGTGGGGTCTGAGGTGTGTGAAAGGCAGCATAGTCTGTGTCTATGTTATGGCTACACTGAGTGATGGAATGTGCACTGAAACTTGCCCTTTGACTGCTCTCATATCTATGGCATGCTCACGGAGCATTTTAGTCAATGTCCCAATATAACATCAGTTTACACTGCGTGCTTGTGCATGAATATCATACATCAATGTTTATTTGTAAATTAGTGTGCAAGTTCATAAAATGTATACAAAATCTAAATTATGTCTTGATAATACCATAAAATCTCTGCTAACATCTAAATATTTGAATTGGGTGATAGAATTATCTTAGAAATTTGGAAACTGGAAGATTTAGAACTTGTTAATGTTAAAACAGACCTGACTTTTTAAGCGTGTATAAATGTTTGTAGAACGGTTGGAGCTTTGTTTGGATGAAGAAAGGTTGAGCAAAAGCAGAAAAGCAGATCTTTCCTCTCAATGATCTCCCAGCCATCACACATATGTTTTATGGGGGAAATCTTGCTCAGGGGTCAATGAGACGTGAATTACAACTGAAGACATGAACCACAGCTGCCTTGTTCTGTGTAGTATTACTCGTCATTTCCCTTCATGTGTCTAAAGCCGCTAGTCTCACACTAATACCCTTAGTCCTACGAAAATTCTCTTCTCTCTTCCTTCCATTTTTACATTACTCTTGTGTGTTCTTATAAAATTCCTAATCTTTTTTCTTCACTTTCATTCTTTCATTTTCTATTCGTCTCCCTCAGCATGCAAGTGCCACCCCATGGGTGCAGTGGGCCGTTGGTGTAACCAGTCCACAGGACAGTGTTTGTGTAGAGAAGGTGTCACAGGACAGAGGTGTAACCGTTGTGCCCCGGGATACAAGCAAGGTCATTCCCCTCTTCGGCCATGTATCCGTAAGTATCACACCTTGCGTTTTGATTCTATTCTGTATAATAACTAAAGTTGCTGGACATAACAAGCAGTGTTTCTAGTAATGGTATACTGATATATTAGCCAAGATTAGTAATCAGCCCATATCTGACCATTGACCGATAACCATGTTCTCTTGATGAACAGACATGTTCATCTCCCCACCTAGTAAGTTTCAAATTTTAGTCAGTACATGCGCAATTTTAATTGAGCTACAGCATGTTTTTGCCTAGACATGCTGCAGTCTTAATTTCTCTGTAAAGTGTGCATGACACAATGCATAAAATACATATCACACATCAGGTCTTTGTCTTTCAGAACATGCGCACAACACAGTCCCATTAGCACATATACATACAAGACAACGTCAAGGTCTGACTTGGTCTGAAATTGGACTAGTGCGATTTCAGTCTGACTAAAACAGGTACCTGATATTTTCTTTTAAAGATCATTTATTGCTTTAGTATAACTTTTGAATTTTTACACTGCATGTAAACGTCCTTAGCAGCTTTCAGTTGATAGTAAACTATTTCTGTTTTCATTTTTGTGAATTTGAGTAAACGTTGAAAATAAACAAATTTATTTTCATTTCATAAAGTCTGTGTACATCACACTTGCGATCACCAAATCAGCATATTAGAATGATTTCTGAAGGATCATATGACACTGAAGAATGGACGCTGAAAATTCAGCTTTGCCATACCAGGAATGAATTACATTTTGAAATATTTTAAAATAGAAAAGGGTTATTTAAAATAGTAATAATATTTCACAATATTCTTGTTTTTACAGAATTTTTGATCAAATAAATGCAGCCTTGGTAAGAATAGGAAATTTCTTTGAAAAACATTAAAAACTGCCTTAGTGCCTAGTCCGGTGACCGTGATCATTTGACCAAGTACAACATGTTCCTGGATCAACATCCTTGTTGATCCTGGAACAACATTCCAATTAACCAATCAGAATTGAGGGATAACTTTTCAGGAAATGTCTGTTTTAGGCTTACGATCAGGGTTAGGTGCTTCTACACCCTTGTTAATCAGCTATCATTTCCCTCTGATTTTAGGAATAAATTATGGGTAGGGTTAGGTTTAGGGGTAGGGATTGGGTTTAGTCTATATTTTTGGACAGTAATGTTCATCCAAAAGACGTTGATCCATCTTACTTGGCAAAATCACGGCGACCCGCCTAGTCCATTTTTTGGTATCTGCTATAGTGTTTTTCCCCTGGTTTATTTTTCATCTCAACTGCCCTTGAACCAATTAAACGGCTTAATTTATTTAAACTCCAAACTCAGTATCATTGTCCCTTTGCAAACTACTGTTTGTTTATGAAGGATTTAGTAGAAGCCACTTTCTGAAACTCTTAACGCCTTCCTCTCATTCCTGTGAATAACTGTTTCCATACAAAGTCTTGAAACTTCTCAGGTGGTGCCACTTGGCTTTCATCAACATTACAATCAGCTTTCCTGGATTTCTAGGTGCTTCATTTTCATTACATGATAATCCAATGAGTATTGCTGCGTTTTTATTTCTTGAAGTTCACGTAACGGCGCAAGCCTCAGGGAAAAGGATGACATGGTATGGCGAACAGCACCTGTCGTGGTGCACAACCAGACCCGTTTCCCTCCCAGCACGACAGACTCATAATTCTTCACGGGTTACGGCTGAGTGATAGAAGAGCTTGTTTGTTGTTCTACATGGATCGTCTCAACATGGATATTTATAGCATGAGCTCCCGTCTTTCCAGCACCAAAGGCGAGCCGCAGCTAAAAACATAACCAACAACAGCGGGTCATTTGCCACCTCTCATGGAGCAGGAAACGCAGCCGTCGTTTATCACAGGGAAAGTGACCCAGACATTAGATATTATTAGCACTTGAAGATTTTGTGGGGGTTTTATTTTGGATAACAGTGACCAGGAAGTCTCATGTTATCCACATTAAACTCTATCTATATAATACATACTTTAAAGCAAATAGATTTCTTCAGGTGTACATTTGCCAGCTCTTACACCCAGTGACCTACTAAATGCCTCAGACTCAAAACACTAAAATGGATTTGAAGCTGTTTGACGTTTGATATGATTTATTGCTGAGGGACTTTAGCGTTTGGGGGGTTGGAAGAGGAGGATAAGGTGTCAGTGTCCCAGTTGTGTCAGAGATATGGGCAGAAGTACAGAACTCATGGGTAATATATGGTTGACCCAGCTTTGCAGACCATGGTCTGTATGTATGCGTGTGTGACAGAGGGCATCCTGATAGCGGCCCTATTGACCTTTAAGACCACACACATGCATGAAATTGTCTGGGCTCACACACTATGACAAAAGTACACTTGTTTTTAACACAAGCATTCCACATGCACTAAAAGACTACAGGGCAAACTGCAGTCAGAGCACACACGTCCCCTTTCTCCCTCACACACTCACAAATGGCAAGTATGCCCTAATGAGCCACCACAGGGATTAGAGCGAGTCACCCACAGCGGAGGTGTGAAAAAGAGGAAGGACAAAATGAAAGGCACACAAATAAACTTGTCACTGCTTGCTGTAATTTAATGAGACCCTCGTCCCCCTTTCTCTCTGTCTGTTGTTCGTTCAGGTATTCAGGAGTTTGCACCACCCACCCCAGTTTACCAGCCTCAGTACAGCATTGGTAAGCAATTGGTTCTTCCTTATAAACACACACACACAATACTTTTATTTTGAGTTTTCTGGTACACTGTTCATTTGTGAATTGTCATCTTTAAAAACAAATTTTTTTCAATTTAAAATATTCAATTTATGATTTGTTAATGTTATGTTTTGTTTACATATATTGCCAAAGCTTTGTACGCAAAAGGAATGACAAGAAACAACACAATAACAATGAAATAATATTCAAATAAGATGCATAGTCAACATAATAAAGCATGTTAAAAGTTATTTGCTGCCCCCTAGTGGATTGTCTAACAATTGTTTTCGGGTTAATATGCACAGACTGCATGTAGTTCATTGTTATTTACCCATTCAGTGTCACTATAGCTTTCTGACCACATTAATTTCCCTGATAAAAATGTTTTAATCTTTAGATGCATTATATAGTTTAGAAAGGTAATAGTATGTCTCTTCATAATAAGCTGCACAATTGGAATTAATCATGTTCCTATAATTAATAGTGTGGGATAAGTAATCCACCACATTTTACATATTATTAACCTATGTATAATTAATCATATTAGTTGTCTTTGTAGAGCTGCTTTGCAGCAGAATTTGAATTGATCTCCTATTTGATTTAGTTTGCATCAGTGATTCTTATTTTGCTGTTTATTACTGTGAAGCTGCTTTGAAACAATTTGTATTGTATAAAGTGCTATAAATAAAGGTGATTTGACTTGACTAGTATACCAATAATTATAATAATTCATGGCTTTCCTATTTTTTTTTTCCTATTTTCCTATTCTGAATTTATATGTAGACAGAAATCTACATTAGCATCATCCCTTGTAACTGCTAATGTATGTTTTCTCTATTACACAAATCAACATTAGAATTACTCTTTCAGGCTAAATATACCTTGAACTGTCTCTGCAATTATTTGAACAATACTTTATGATATCCAGTCACATTTTCTGAAATTGCAAAAGAGTTTTATCCTGCTGTTCATTTAATGACACTGGCTCAGACTTATAAGCATTATTTTAAATCTATATTATTGTCTTCTGATTCCACTGGGACCACTAGCCTCTACTGACTCCCTACAAGAACCAAGTATTGACACCAAACAGAGATAAGACCGAGAAATATATCCCTTTTTTAGGGGCCTCACAGGAGTCTCTGGATGACCAAATTAAGTATTTTCCAAGGTGATACTATCTTGACATCTGGCCTGGTGACCAGCAGACAATAAAAACCTCAGAGCAGACATTTTCATTCTGAATAAAATGTGTTGTACCATTGACAGCAACAGAATATTGTGCAGTCTGCCATGATTATGGTAATATACCTGCCACAGCTGCTTCGCTAATATCTAAAAAAGTGCAGTGTAGTCCATTACTGCTGACTGATTTCACACACTTTATTGTGATCTGCACTGAGTAGACAGGCCAACTCTAGTTCTCTGGAAACTAAAGAACTGCCTTTACTACTCCTGGACCCCTGTGCTCTATTAAATACTTGAATAGAGATATAGAACAGCCCTTCTCTTTGCATTGGAGAGATTAATACTGGTGCAAAATGTAATTTAAAATAGATTCCAAAATATGTGTGTTTATTAACATTTTAATTCTTGCTTTTTAAGAAATGTGTCAAAAGTAAACAAAAAAAAAAGTATTTATTTTTTAATAAAAAATTTTCAAAGTGTGATTAAATTCTCTCTCTCTCACTGCAGGTGAGGAATGTCTTTCTTACTGTCCCCCTTCCCAAGCAAGAGTCAAAATGAATTTAGAGACATATTGTCTCAAGGACTATGGTAAGTTCTTAACTAAGGAATTTGGTTTATACCTCAAAATAAAAAGGCAATTGTGTAAGTTAAAATTAAGAAATAAAGCCACTAAGCTTGCAAAAAGGTGGACAATTTCCAGTAAATTTCGGAAATATTCCAGAAATTTTGGAAACTTTCTAGGATTTTTGGAATATTCCAGGGATTTTTGGAAAGTTTCCGGAAATTTTCCACCCCTTTGCAACCCTAAAAGCCACACATTATGTGATATAAAGTCACAATTATGGGAAACAAGTTTGCAATTGTGAGATATGTAAATTACATAAAAAGTCAATTGCCTTTTTATTTTATTTTTCTGAGGTGGAAATAGGAATATGGCAGAAATATATAACCGGTCAACTGTTTGGAAGAATTACGATTTTTTTTTAATGTTTTTAAAAGAAGTCTCTTATGCTCACAAAGGCTTAATTTCTTTTTTTTTAAATCAAGTATACAGTAAAACAGTAACATTGTAAAATAATTTTACAATTTAATATAACTGTTTTGTATATTACCATATTTTTAAATGTAATTTATTCCTGTGATGATACAGCTGAATTTCCAGCAGCCATTATTTAAGTCTTCAGTGTCACATGATCCTTCAGAATCCTGTTCTGGTGCTCAATTACTATTGGCGCTAATTTATGGGATTTTTGGAAAGTTTCCGGAAATTTTCCACCCCTTTGCAACCCTAAAAGCCACACATTATGTGATATAAAGTCACAATTATGGGAAACAAGTTTGCAATTGTGAGATATGTAAATTACATAAAAAGTCAATTGCCTTTTTATTTTATTTTTCTGAGGTGGAAATAGGAATATGGCAGAAATATATAACCGGTCAACTGTTTGGAAGAATTACGATTTTTTTTTAATGTTTTTAAAAGAAGTCTCTTATGCTCACAAAGGCTTAATTTCTTTTTTTTAAAATCAAGTATACAGTAAAACAGTAACATTGTAAAATAATTTTACAATTTAATATAACTGTTTTCTATATTACCATATTTTTAAATGTAATTTATTCCTGTGATGATACAGCTGAATTTCCAGCAGCCATTATTTAAGTCTTCAGTGTCACATGATCCTTCAGAATCCTGTTCTGGTGCTCAATTACTATTGGCGCTAATTTATTAATAATGGTTCTTATTATAAATGTTGACAAATGTTTTGCTGCTTAATATTTTTGTGGAAACCATGATACATTTTTTCAGGATTCTTTGATAAAAAATAAAATACAGTGAACAACCTTTACAGTTATTTTACAGTATTTTAAACAGTAATAATATTTCACAATATTACCATTTTTGATCAAATAAATGCAGTCATTTTGAGAGATAAGAGACTTCTTTCAAGAATATTTAAAAAATCTTAATTATTAAACCTTTGGCCAGTAGTGTATATAGATTTACATTCTTTTTTAGTAAGTTAAGTTCTTCCGTAGTATGTGATGCATGATGAAGAACTTGATGGCTGGAATACACTACACTTCTCCTAAAATCTGAACATATTTTAAAACACTAAGCATCATACAGTTGCCAACTTTGTAAATGGTTACACAAAAAAAAAAACTGGACATCATAGACTGAACGACTGAGGAACACACACTACCTGACAAATAATTCCAAACACAACAATCTGCAAAAAAACTGTGCCTTGTTGCTAGGAGACCCATGACAAATGAAAACAACATTGATAAAATCACCTTGAGAGATAAGAGACTTCTTTCAAGAATATTTAAAAAATCTTAATTATTAAACCTTTGGCCAGTAGTGTATATAGATTTACATTCTTTTTTAGTAAGTTAAGATCTTCCGTAGTATGTGATGCATGATGAAGAACTTGATGGCTGGAATACACTACACTTCTCCTAAAATCTGAACATATTTTAAAACACTAAGCATCATACAGTTGCCAACTTTGTAAATGGTTACACAAAAAAAAAAAAACTGGACATCATAGACTGAACGACTGAGGAACACACACTACCTGACAAATAATTCCAAACACAACAATCTGCAAAAAAACTGTGCCTTGTTGCTAGGAGACCCATGACAAATGAAAACAACATTGAGTTCTAAAATCAGCTCAACATATGAAACATGTTTGATATCCTCTGACTGAACGGAATCGTAGTCCGCAGCTAAAAAAGTCAGAATCTTAGGCCCGGTTTACACTAGTGCGTTTTCGTTTTAAAACGGTGTTTTAAAAACACTTGCGTTTCAGAAACGTTCTCCGTCCACATTACACAACCGAAAACGCATGTCACAACAATGAGCATGATGTTATTGTTTACACGGTCGTCTTGGATACGCAGAGTGAATGTTGGCAGCCATGCCATCGTTTTCAAAATTCTCCGTTTTGTTCCGTTTACACTGAAACAGAGTTCTCAAAATAAAACGGTCTGCAGCGTTTTCGAAAGTCTACGTTTTTGAGGGTCGAAAACGTCAGAGTAGTGTAAACGACAGGCATAACCGTAGCAAAAGTTATGCATTTTAAAACGAAAATGCACTAGTGTAAACGTAGCCTTAGACCATCACATACTACAGTATTCGACGTTCTGTAAAATCTGTCACCTCTGCTGAAAATCTTTGACTTGCTTCGACTTTCGGCATCTAGGGTTGACTTTTCTAGACTACAAATTGAGGCAAAAGTCTTTTAATGTGTTCCAGTCTTTAGTCACATTGTCTAACATCCGTGTCTGTTTTCTGTCATACTTTTGTCCCAGTGCTGAAGGTGCAGGTCAAAAGTAAGGAACGTTCTGGTCCCTGGTGGCAGTTTTCCATATTGGTGCAGTCAGTTTTTCGCATGGGCTCTTCACATGTAAAGCGAGGAATTCAGGCCCTCTGGGTTCCAGATCGGGACCTGAGCTGCGGTTGTCCTGCGCTTCAGATAGGCCGCACATTCCTCCTGATCGGAGGGGAGGAAAGCGGCCGGAGTTGGGTCCCCGAGGAGAGGCGGTTAGTCGCAGACCGCACCACAATGGCTTTGCAGTGGAGGGAACACTGGAGCCCCAAATTAAGAGGCTTCCGCGGGCAGGACACCCGGGGGAAGTGCCCACAGGGAAACACCACTGCACAGAAACACTCTCACCCAAGCTCATACGAAGAATACACACCCCCACATCTTAACAAACTGCAGTCTGAGCCACACAGACCAAATAAACATACACATACGGTGCATAAACAGCATCATTTAACCACACAATCTGGAGGATCAGACCTCACACACACACACAAAAGAGGAGGAACTCGGGGCATACAAAGAAAAGACACAGAAACACACCTTGAGGAGGACAGTAAGGCTGAAAACGTCACTCAGGAAACACACCATGTATTGCAGCACACCCAGGATCCTTTCTCAGGTACTTCAAAGACGAGTCAGGCCAATGAGCATGAGCAGTACCACCCGACAGCATGTCCAACGTGGTCACCTGGGCCAACTGTCTAACAAAATGAGATACTGTGAGCAGGAATAGGTTTTAGGATTGAGTGCAGATTCTGAGAGAAAATTGCGTATTGATTTCCTTCAACACTGTTGAAGTGGGAAAGGCTTCCATGTCCTCATCAGCTCCTGACGTCTGGGGTTCGTATGTTCCTTGAGTTTTGATTGAATGGACTAAACTGCTTCTGATAGGCAATGACTTGAAGAGGTCACGGGCCAGAAGCGCTCAATAATTATTATCTGCTATGATTTGAGATTTATGAGTTTCAGACATTGCAAATGTGTGCTATCTATCCTCCATTTTTGGGCATCTGGCCCTCGTACACAAAAAAAATAAAAGAAAATTAAAAAAAAAAAAAAAAAAAAAAGACAATTTGCAAAAAAATATACTTGCTCTCAGGACATCCAAAATGAAGATGAGTTTGTTTCTTCATTGGAACAGATTTGGATAAATTTAGTATTACATCACTTGTTCACCAATGGATCCTCTACAGTTAATGGGTGCTGTCAGAATGAGAGTCCAAACAGCTGATAAAAACATCACAATAATCCACAAGTAATCCAGAAAACTCCAGTCCATCAATATCTTGTGAAGTGAAAAGCTGTGTGTCTGTAACTGTTCTGATGAAGAAACAAACTCATCTATATCTTGGATTTTTGTGAACTATTCCTTTAAGAAATGCCTGCGGTGGGCTTGAGCTCAGCCAAATGCATGGTAAGGAATATTTCAGTTGTCTCTAATCTAGGCAGTTTCACAGAGCCACTCATAACAATTGAATATTCACAGACTTTTATGTGATGTTGTGCTATATATTCATCACCAGATTATAGAGCCATTTGTATTATTTTTTCAGATTAAACATGCAGGTATTTTTCCATGTCACATACTCTGAGAAATTTTGCACCTTCCCTCCAGAAAGAGATGCATCTAATCCAAATATTAAAAGACTGAAAATCACCATATTTTATTCAAGATGTTACTTAAATGGTATCCTGTTCAGTCCACAGTATTTAGTCTGACAGTCAGACATGTAAGACTCTTATTGCTGGATTGTAAGAGGCACATTGTTTTCAGATTCCATCATTGACAGACATGTTAAGTGTGGCTTAAGTTTGTGTGCCCGTAAGTAATTACATTTTTTTATTGTTTTTGTAAATTTCTGTGGCTAGAAAAAACACACACACATACATACACACACACACACACACACACATATATATATGAATCACTTTGGCAATGAATTCAGACTGTATACAACAGATCTTTAATATGGTGCCTTTTAAAGTCTTATTACTTGTGAATATTTTAAGCTATCATATAATATGTAAATGTTATAATTATATAATTATTTGTTTAACAAAATGTGACAAAACGTTTTTGCTTTTTGTTTAAATTAACGCTCTACCTCATAATAAATATTGTTAACAAGCCTTGTAAAGTAGTTTATTTAATTAATACTTACATTTAATAAATGTTTCCATTTCAAAGTATAGAAGGTAAAAAATCTGTGCAAAAAAATGTACGAAAAGGAGAGGGAAAGATAACATGATTCATTTATAGAAAAAAAGTAATAATGAAAAAAAGTTCACGCACATGAAACTGAAAGAGGAAAGACAAATGGAGAGAGACCGTAAAAGCGAGCGAAACGGCCAATGATGCACCTGCTTTGTTTGCACAGGAAACACCTGTTCCCAGCCTTCCTGCCTGGCTGACTGACGACAGTTAATTTAATGTAAAAAAATTCTCCCACAGCTTGAAGGACCAAACTGCCCCGCGCTTGCCTTGTTTTGAGAACAATATTGCAGGAAGTCTTTCTCGCTAACTCTCGTGCCCTAATATATCCACATGTCCTCTATTTTGTCTAGCAGCCAAGTACGTGTAGGCCTATCGGATAACACACTCCTAACACTATCAGAGCCCCCGTGGACACACAGTTGTGAGATGTCTAGATGCATGGCATGTGCGACATTTTGGTCACATAAAAAAAAATCCCAAACTCACCTGTATATTTAATCATGAATTTAAAGTAATGTTCTGGGTTCCGTACAAGTTCAATAATCGACAGCACCTGTGGAATAATGTTGATTACCATAAAAATAAACTTCCTCTCACCCCTCCTTTTCTTAAAGAAAATAAAAAACAGAAAGAAAAATAGAAAAAAAATTCTAAAAACAATCTGTAAACAATAAAAATAGTAATACTGTTTCGGAAGTCAAGGAAGACGTAAAGCGTGTTAACACGATTATAGTGTAAAAATAAATAATCTTCTCTGTGAGAAGTTATATCCCATTGTAGGAATATCTTACTAATCTTTTCTGTGTAAAGTTACATCCCATTTGAATCAGGTCCCTGACGGTAACAATTTTAACAACTTCGTAGCCATGACAACGTGGCTACGTAACCAGCAGAAACGTAAAATGACAAATTGCACAGCTTTGCAGCGCATATCACATACAGGTATACAATTCTAAGCTTCACATTTCTGCTTTTAAATCCTCCAAAAACCTGCTCCCCTCAGTTCCATTGTACGTGCCTCATCTGTCATCTTAAACTCGATTTAAAAAACAAAATCGAGGCAGTTTTGATTTTATTTATTTATTTTTGTATTATTTATTTTTTAATAATTTTTTGCGGAAATAAAAATATGCTACAAATGCTGTTGACCGATTTTTTTGTTTTTTTTTTACAGGAATGAAAACGAGGCTGTGAGGATAGAAGGAAGTTCAATGGATTGTGCTGTTAACAACATACCGATTGTTGAGAAAATTTTACAAAAAACTTAATTCTGTAAACAAAAACTTCTTAAAACAGCTTTGAAATTTGTGAGTTATTAAAATTACGTGATCTGGGACCTTTATACAGGTTGTGCCCTTGTAAAGACCGTAAGTCTATCCCTCACAGCCTCTTTACATTCACATAAAATTCACTATGGCTTCTAACCTGACTAAGGTCTATATTCTTTTAAGAACATACAGACAGACTGAATACATGTGGGATAGATGCTGAGTTCTGGACCCCGCGTGTTACTGGCTGGCAAGAGGAATTTTTACGAGACATGAGGCCTACAGTACATTACAGAGGCAAAGTTCAACAAGCTCTACCACACTCACGCTCGCTCGCTCTTTTTCTTCTGTTCTTTCTCACAGTGTGAGTAATGATACTGCTGATTGAACCTCATTGTTTAATAAGCCTTCCTGAACATGTTGCTAACACAGTCTTGTTGAGATCATGCACACATACACAGACAGGCACAGGAAACCAGATACACACGCGGCTTCTGTTAACCCGAGAGTGAAGAGGTCAATCCAGTTGATCCCTTGCATGCATGCCTCTCATACGAACACACTGCGTCCATGGCAACAAGATTCCTGCTGGCTGTTAGCTCTAATAAAACTGGTGCCATCTGTGGTACATATATACTCGTTCATGGTACCACACTGATGAACCTCAAAAACAAACATACATAATTTGTAAAACATACATCCATTCCAAACAATGACAGAATGGCAGTCGTGACCTCAATCTATAAAATCAACTTTAGGTTTATAGTGGACTGTAGCCTATGTCATCATTATGTTCTTCTAGTTGATACAATTAAAATGAACTTCAACCTTCCTGATTAAGCTTGTCTGACTGAGGGGTTATACTAAAAATACCTGCCTTTCAGAAATTGTACTCCCACAGGCAGACCTTGCCTTTTCTGTATATGCATGCAGGAATGCTTGGGTTAATTTCAAGCCCTAGAAACTCCTTTTTGCTGCAAAGAGAAATCAGCGTAAAGTTTTTTTTCTTCAGTGGAATTGCTGAATATTATCCCTAAATATTCCAAAGTTTTGTCTACTTGTCACTCCTTTGTGACATAGAAATGCTCCGGTAATTTTTCTGTAATTACAGTAATTTTTCCTCACCATTGCCATCTAAGCCATTATTCTGTCAAAAAAAAAAAATGCTTTACAGCAGAAATGCCCAAACCAGTAAATTTAAGTATAAATAACCCATATAAAGGTTGGCCCATGATGACCTTTGATTTGGCCCACCATGCCACATATCACGAGAAGGGAAAAAAATGCCATTGAAGCATATTTTCATTTCTTAAAAAATTAATTTGTACATACATACAT